GTGGTCTTGTTTGTGAACATTTGGGTAAATGCCCAAAAGTGAGATTGCTGGGTCATAGGGGAGCTCTATGTGGAGTCTTTTGAGGAACCTCAAGCTACTTTCTTTACTGAATTACTTGTGTACATTAACAGAAATAAGTTAAGCATGTTTATATGGGTCTATCCCTGAATTTCGTAGTCTAAGCCACTGTTCTATATGTCTATCCTCTAACAACAACATAAATTCTTAGTCCTAACTATTTAGGCCTAATTATTTGCTAAAGCAATTACTTTAATTTTTTTCTTTCCACACAGATTCTAGATTAAGTTGTTTTGTATCTCCAGAAAGCTTTATTGAAGCCAAATAATTAAGATTAGGGACTCAGTTTTAGTCCATACTCTGGAGCATTTTTGGGCAAGAAAGCAAAGCATAAGTTTTAGCTGTCCTTACACTTTCAGATTAGTTAAAACCAACTGGACCTGATGTTACCATGCTTAGGGTCCATGCTGAACACAGTTATCTTTCTTTCATGTCCTTAAAATCTATGTAACTTCAGATATGGGGCTCACAAATGATGATGTAACCTTGGTTCTTTAGATAATGTAAAATAAATCTAGTTTTATTTTCTCTCCAAAAATAAAGCTTTACTGAGGAATTTCCTCAGTAAATTAGGAATGCATAGCATCTTTGTTATGTTGAATCTTCCAACTTATGAACCCAGTGCTTCTTCTCACCAATCTAGGTCTTCTCTTATTTCTTTAATGGGTATTTGGTAATTTTCAGCACTTATATACTATAAGTACATGTCTTGATAAGTATGTCTTATTTTGATTTGGAATTGCTGAAGATAAAATTGTAGTTTCAACATGCTCATTGTTAGTAGACAGAAACATGATTGACTTTTTCATGCTGATCATTTATCCTTCAACTAAACTCACAAATTAGTTCTCACAGCATATTCATGGGTTCCTTGGGATTTTATCTCTAGACAGTATTACCATCAGCAACTTTTTTTAAAGAATGAAAAGAAAAATTACACCAAGAAAAAACAATCTGTTGTTGTTGAGTAGAATGTTCTGGCTCTATCAATCAGTTCTCTACAAGTGATCACGGTACTCAACTGTTCTGTGAAAGTTCTGCTTTCCCTTCCACAACTACCCCAGCAGTCCTGAGAAGGGACAGTCCTGAAGGTCACAAACACAGCTGCACATTTCTCTCTCTACTTCTCTCGGATTCTCTTTTCAGCATTGTCAGTTTTTGTTTCATGACAAAAGTGTGTTGACATTTTCCCCTAATCTCTTTCAAAAACAAAAAGCACTCAGCATATTTCTGAACATTAAGCAGTAAACAACTGGCAGACCTACTTTAGCCTACCTCACTGTAACAAAGAAATATTTTAATGACCTTAATATACTTTTCTCCTACACCATGGCTATACATATATACATATATATGTTATGTATATGCCTTTCTCTCTCTCTCTCTCTCTCTCTCTATATATATATATATATATATATTTATATATCCGTGTCAATTTTCATAAGAAAGAAACAGCAATGCCTGTAGGTAGAATCTACATGTTTTCATGGGTATCATTCACAACATACCCCTCGCAACTAAAGTGCCAAATATGATGATATAAGTAGGAGATATTTAAAAAAAGACCTGCCACTAAGCCAGGTTGGTGCCAGATACAGACATACATAGACATTTGGAAAATTGTGCTGGAATGAAAAATGGTGAGCTTGCTGGGCAGTGGTGGTTCACGGCTTGCACCTGTAATCTTAGTTGCTCGTAAAGCCATGATCTGAGGATTGAGGTTGAGCTCTGGCACAAATGGTAGAGCACTATCCTTGAACAAGAAAGCTAAGAGAGTGCCAAGGACCTGAGTTCAAGCCCTAATACCAGCGCATGCACATACATACACACACACACACACACACACACACACAGATGTACACATGCACGAACAGAGGATCTCATATCTTGGCACTCCAATAATATTCAATAAATGAATAGACTCAACTACTTAGGTATGCATTCAAAACAAAGCTGAAACTGAATCTCTGAAGTGGGCACAATGACCATTTAGTTATGCATGCATATATGAGTCTTGTAGGCAGATTTAAGTTACAGTGAGTAGGCAGAGAATTTGTTCCCCATCATGAGAAATATTCACAGATGCCATAGTAGAGATTAGAGGTGATGTTTCTACTAAGTACTTCAAAGTGAGGCATACCATCACACATGTTACTAAAGAATCAGATATGTCCCTGAAACTTGAAACCAAATGCCATTTTTACAAGTTTGGTAACCTTTTTCTTGCAAGAGTGGAGTAAAAGAGTGAGGAATGGATGGAAATTTTTACTGTCTCTATTTCTATATTCTTTATATTTTCTGTATTTTACTTGGTATATTCATATACTATGTTCTTCATACATAAAAATATTTGACTTCATTTCTGTGTTGTGTGGAAGCTTTAATAAAGCTCAAGTATCACTTTTCCAATTAAGCCATTACAATTAAAATCCAGTTCATAAACTGCACTCTATATGACACACACTGAGTTGATCCCACTTTGAAAAACAAGGTAGGAAGTTATTTTTAAAACAAAACCAATTTTAATAAACTCTAGACCTGTCCCTATAGGGACAAATGACTATGCTAAGCTCACTCCAGAGAGACTTTCCTTTTCCAAATTCTGTTTGGTTTCCATTCAATGACTGACTATTTAATGAGCCACTTTTAGCTGGCCTTTCCCCAAGGTTCACTCACAACTCTTCCTAAATCATCTCTAAGTCATTTTGCTGGCGCAGGTGTTGTTGCTCAGGAAGCTGTGGCCAAAGGGCAGCAGTATAATTAACAAGCTTCAAATCCAAAGTTGCAGGTCTCACTTCTGGCAACAGAGAAATGTGCCACATCATGGTAAATGCATCTGAAACCTGTTGTTTTATAAGGAGATTTTTGACACTGTAATGACAAAACAGTATAATTCTAAATATTTACTTCTTTTTCTCTGAGAACAACTCTACTACAGCTCTTCTTCCTGCTTTTTGGTGGTTAATTGGAGATAAAGGTTTATAGACTTAACTGCTTGAGCTGGCTTCAAACCTTGATCCTCAGATCTCAGCTCCCTGAGTAGCTAGTATTACAGGCATGAACCACTGGTGGCCGGCCCTGAAAACAGTTCTGTCATTACATACAATATGAAGCTCTGACTTCCACAGAATTTGCAATTATATTTAAGGGTCTACCCATTTAATCTCAGATCTTTCTTGTTATTGAATAGCTAAACTCAACTATACACACTATATATTGCCCATGCGAGAGACTATTAATTAGGCCATGTACTTGGTACTGAAAGCAACAGGTTTGGAATGAGTCAGTAACTTGAAGAGAAATCTCATTCCATGACAGGAAATGTAGTTATGATGAGGTTTTGATATTCATCAGTTTCAGTTTGACTTGATCAAGAAATATTTTTAACCTGCCAGGTGCTTCTGGCTCATGCCTGTAATCTCAGCTACTCAGCAAGCTTAGATCTGAAAATTGAGGTTCAAGTGGTAGAGTGCCAGCCTTGAGTGAAAAACGTCAATGGATAGGGCCTGGGCCCTGAGTTCGAGCCTTAGTATCAGCACCAAAAATAAAAAGGAGATGTTCTTACCTGTAGACATTAACCACTAGATTGTCTTAAGCAAAGTGTGTGAATGCCTCTATTCACAGACTTTCTTACTAAGATTTGCTCTATAATGCTTCTCTCTGACATATCCTATCTGATGTTGTAGGAGTTCGTGATGATTGTCGTCTTTGGTTTGGAGTTCATCATTCGAATCTGGTCTGCAGGTTGCTGTTGTCGGTACAGAGGATGGCAAGGAAGATTGAGGTTTGCTCGAAAGCCCTTCTGTGTTATAGGTGACTATCAAATTTCCAGATATATGGATTTATGACACTGCATACTTTTCTTCTGTCTCCTTATTGCAAAGTTTGATCAATCTTACAGTCTAACATCCATGAGTACTCATCAAGCACTTTTGTGTTTTGAAAGTCTTGACTCAATCCTTACCACAACACTATGAATACTTTTATCATCCCCATTTTACAAATAAAGAAGCTGAGGCAAATACAGGCAGAGTAAGTTACCAAAGTCATATGTAGTAAAGTGGTGGAGCTGGAATTGGAGACAGGTAATCTTTCTCTAAAACACTATTTATGTCAATTAAGATTCTGAGAGACATGGTTCCTCTGGGTTGCCCTGAATTAGAAAAGCATCAACTCCAGTAACTATAAGCACAGTATTGCTTTAGATTGATAATAGAATTAAACTACTGTATCAAAAATAGGTGCCAGAATATTGGTTAATCACTTGTAGAAAACTAAATCTAGATCCTTATATATCACCCTGCACCAGAATCAACTCCAAATGGATCAAAGACCTCAGAGTCAAAGCAGACACTCTGAAAACATTACAGGATGGAATAGGAGAAACCCTAGGTCTCCTTGGCACAGGCTGAAAATTTCTTAATAGAGACCCAGAAATACAACAAATCAAAGAAAGGTTGGACAAATGGGATTGCATAAAATTGCAGAGCTTCTGCATGGCAGAGGACATAGCTAGCGAGATCAATAGAAAGCCCACGGATTGGGAGAAGATCTTCACTAGCCATACAACGGACAAAGGTCTCTTATCTAAAATATACCTGGAACTCAAAAAATTAAATCCCCCAACAACAAATCCTCAAAGAAACAACTGCACAATAAATAAGTGGGCTAAAGACGTAAAAGAGAAACTTCTTGAAGAGGAAAGAAGGATGACCAATAGACACATGAAGAAATGCTCAACCTCCCTAGCCATAAAAGAAATGCACATAAAAACCCCAGTTAGAATGGCTATAATCAAGAAATCTAATAACAAGAGATGATGGAGGGGATGTGGACAGAAGGGAACCCTACTGCATTGTTGGTGGGAGTATAAACTTGTTCAACCACTTTGGAATGCCCACTTTTGGGCATTTGCCCAAATGATCACAAACAAGACCATACTAAAGCTACCAGCACAACTATGTTTATTGCAGCATTATTTAAGATATGGAACCAATCCAGATGCCCCTCAGTAGATGAATGGATCAAGAAAATGTGGTATATATACACAATGGAATTCTATGCCTCCGTCAGAAAGAATGGCATTGCACCATTTGTTAGAAAATGGAAAAACTTGGAAAAAAATATATTAAGTGAAGGAAGCCAGGCCCAAAGAAACATAGGTCCCACGGTTTCCCTTATTTGAAATACCTAGTATATGTCTGGGACAAGCAGAAATGGTCAGATAAGTTGATGTTAGGCGAAATGAGCCCCAAGGTAAGACTCAAATGTTTTTTTCTTTCTTTCTATTGTTTCTAACATATTTATAAAATATTTCTTTGTTGCTTTGTATGTCCCTCCCCCACAGTATAACCCCTTTTTACACTGTATTTGATGTTGGTATAATTTGTGGAGGGGAAGGGAAAAAACAAATTGTTTAAATAGGGATACAGGTGGACCCATTGCAACAATGAGATGTACAAGACATTATATCGAAAAACAAACTTTACAACTTTGGCACGGGGTGGGAAGGGGATATGGGGGTAGATGGGAAGGGATGTTAAGGGGAAACAAAGGAGGAGGCAACAATGCTCGATAAGAAATATACCAATTACCTTGCCCATGTAATTGTAATCCCCTCTGTATGGTATTTTCACAATAAAAAAAAATAGGTGCCAGATGCCTGTAATCCTAGCTGCTCAGATAGCTGAGACCTGAGGATCTCAGTTCAAAGTCAACCCAGGCAGGAAAGTCCATGAGAATCTCCAATTAACCACCCTAGAACCAGAAGTAGAGCATGGCTCTAGTGGTAGAATGCCAGTCTTGAATAGAAAAGCTAACAGATGGAAGACAGCACCCAGGCCTAAGTTAAAGACCCAGTATCAACACTCTGTGTGTGTGTGTATGTGTGTGTGTGTGTGTGTGTGTGTGTGTGATATTTTATAGGATTCCACTGTGTGGAATGGATGTCAGTGTGTTATTCCTAAAGGTGCATATCAGTTAGCATAGCTACTTTCTTTGGTAATTCTAGACCTGACAATATACTCTACATTCTGAAATGTGATTCCCCTAACTCCACAGTCCCCAGATCAACAGCAAAGCTCTGGAACCCATGTGATTCCAGAAGGATTCCATTCCTCTGGGGTTCAGTTTTAAATTAACACTTCTCCATGAAGTTCCATAGGGCATTCTGAAGTTCAGATCTGGTATTTCTCAGTAATATATTTAAACTATACCATAAATTTGAAAACTATACAAGAGAGTAAGAAATAGGAAAAAGAGAGTAAGAAGAAACATGAGGAAACAGTTAGGGGCACTGATGGAAAGGGAGACTCATTAGACGTCATGTTAAATTGTAACCCCACTGTACAAACTTTGAAGCTTAAGTAATTTAAAAGAAAAGGAAAGAAAATACCAACTAAACACCTAGATGAAGGAAGAGGGAGAAGAGCAGGTGATAGACTAGGAGGAGGAAGAGGAGAAGAAAGAGGAAATCGTGTCATTCATAGGAAAAGAGATGGAACTGGAGATCACGTTAAGTGAAATTAGCCAGATTCTGAAACAGTATTGCAGATATTCTCTCACATGTGGAGCCTTTAAACCAAGCAAGCATAAAAGATGTTGAAGTAAATGAATTATTAAAACATAAGAAGAGGACTAATGAGATAGCAAGAGGAGATAAGTGTACGTAATAAGAGGAATCATAAATAAGATCATATAAAAGATTGTGGCAGTTTAGCCATTATGCTGTTGATGTGGGAAGTATTTTCAGTAAACACACCAGTGCTAGGTCCTAAATTATGTGCTACTTGCCAACCAATGTCACAAACTACTGAGCCCATTGACCAATTACAAGTTCTTGGACACAACTTGAAAGCAGCCCTTCTTGGTCATTTCAAAGAAATTCCCTTTGGAATTATCCCACTCTATTTACCTCTGAACTCTAAAACAAACCAAAACCAAAAGCTTTTCAAAACTTTATTAAAGAAGTCATGTAAAATCATTGTGTTAAGAAAGTATAGATTTGTGTGTGTGTGTGTGTGTGTGTATGTGTGTGTATGTGTGTACTTGTGTGATTATTTGAAGATGAGAGTATCATGGACTTTCCTGCTCAGACTGGCTTTGAACTGTGATCTTCAGATCTCAGCCTCTTGAGTAGCTACGATTACATGTGTGAGCCTCTAGTTGCCCAGCCAAAAAACGTATTTTAAATAACTATAACCTAAGGAAAGAAAGGAATCTAGATTTTTTGATCAGGTACTTCCTTTTGTTAAAATATTATTTTATCTTTGCCTTGTTTTGTGAACTTCCTTTGAAAAATGATTAAATTGTCTCTAGAATTAAAAAAATCTTCCTTAACCTTGTGTGCAATTTATATCTCTCCTCTGAGGCTCTGTTACAAGAATTTTCTACAACTGTGGAGAAGAAAACCATACTCCTGATTTTGAATCAAGTATATCTTAAGTTGCCTACCTAAATTCCTTTTTTTCTGTTTTTTAATAAAATGAAATCAAGATATATTACAGTTATCCCATCTATACATTTGGTTTTAACAAACCCTTAGATTTTCTTTTTTGGATTTTCTTTTAGCCAAATAAAACCCTGGCCATGTCATTTGTGTTTGGTGCATATGCGTCAGTGGCGATACTTGGTCTCAACTTTTGCTCTGCATTCTTTTCTTTTCTTCTCTTTTCTTTTCTTTTCTTTTCCTTTCTCTTCTCTTCTCTCCTCTCCTCTCCTCTCCTCTCTGCTCCTTTCCTTTTCCTTCCCTTCCCTGCCTTCCCCTCCCCTCCCTTTCCTTTCCTTTTTTTCTTGCAAGTCCTGAGGTTCAAACTTAGGACTTAGTCACGATCCCTGAGATTTTCTGCTCAATGGTAGTGCTCTGTCACTGAAGCCAAAGCTCCACTCACTTCCAGCTGTGTGTGTGTGTGTGTGTGTGTGTGTGTGTGTGTGTGTGTGTGTGTGTGTGTGTGTGTGTGTGTGTGTGTGTGTGTAGGGGATGGGTAAGCAATTAAAGGTAAAACTCTCACAGACTTTTTCCTCAGGCCAGCTTTGAACCATAATCCTCCAATCTCAGCTTCCTGGTAGCTACCAGTATAGTATGAACAACCAAGCCAGCTTTGATCAGCCTTTTGCCTCATGGCTGGTGCTCGACCACTTGAGTTATGCCTCCAGTTCTATACCTTTTTCAATAAAAATGTTCACTTGTTGGCCTTTCCTGAGGTGCTGCTATCTTGAGCTGAAGATTTGGATGCACAGATTCCCTTCATCAATGTGTATGAATATTGCACTGAGGGGAAGTGGTTATAACAGCAAGAAGAAATCAATTTACATTTAGCATCAGATGCAGATGCAAGATTAATAAGAAGCTGGTATTTTCTGGGGCACATTTCAAGATTGAAAAAATGGCCCTATTATATCTGTCTTTACAAGGAGTCACCAAGGAATGATAATAATAATAAAAAGAAAGCCACAGTTAGAAGTAATTGGTGAGCTTCCTGACATCTCAGACTCATCATTGTGATCTCAGCTTCAGCCTTGGGTAAGTCATTAATAAAAGCTGGAACAAACGAATGAATGTGAAATCAGTCTGAAGTTATTGAGGTATGCTAATGCTACTGGATAAATTAATGTTTCAATGTAGAAAAATCATAGAAGAGCCAGTCTAGGTAAAAAAAAAAAAAGGAAAGACAAATTAAGCTACTATTGTGGTCACAATAGGCTTGCTAACTTGCCAGCACCTTATAAACTGATGATTTAAGAGATCATTTTTGTGCTTCTCTGACTTCTGCATCTTTTGTTCTAAGAAACCTGCTCTTTAGCTGTTTCATCTT